ATGAAAGCCGACTGGATGATTTTAGTCCAATCACCAGGAGACTGAGAGTTGTAGCCCCGCCTTACGCATGAAAGCCAGCTGGGCGACTTTCAGCCAATCCTTGAGAGAAGGTGAGTACTTGTCCCGCCTTAGGCATGTAAGCTGACTGGGATCTACCTGGGATACACCTGTTCCAACCACTTGCTTAGCGTAAAGAGCACTCTCGTTTCGTTGGTGTGTGTCCGCTCAGCGTTCAGCTGCTGCAGGGTGTAAATATAAAGGGTGAGGTAGCCTCCCAACGAAAGGGACTCTTGAAGGAAGTCTTCGGCTGCGAGTTCTGGAACCTGCAAGGAGGCCACGATTGGTGCCCAGCCCAAATCTTGGTTGAGAGGAGAGTCTTCACCCCACACAAAAAAAGGGGGCGATGGTGTGGAGGGAGAGAAGAGGAAGAAAAGAAAAGAAAAGCAAAGCGGTTAGATTAACTCATCTTGGCAATGAAGAATAGCGTAGCAATCAATCAGAACAGAGCTGGAAGGGACCTTAGAGGTCTTCTAGTCCAGCCGCTCAAGCAAGGAGACCCTATACCATTTCAGACCAATGGCTGCCCAGTCTCTTCTTAAAAATCTCCATGATGGACCACCCACAACTTCTGGTGACCAGCTGTTCTGCTGGTTAATTGTTCTCACTATTAGGAAGTTCCTCCTTAATTCCTGGTTGCTTCTCTCCTTGATTAACAGAATGAATGAATGAATGAATGAATGAGCTGGAAGGGACCTTGGAGGTCTTCTAGTCCAGCCCCCTGCTCTAGCAGGAGAACCTATATCATCTCAGATAAGTGACTGTCTAGTCTCTTCTTAAAAACCTCCAGTGATGGAGCACCCAAGATTTCTGGAGGTGACCTGTTCCACTGGTTAAATGTCCACATTGTGAGGAAGTTTCTCCATAATTCCAGGTTGCCCCTCTCCTTGGTTAGTTTCCACTGTTTCTTATTCTGCCCTCTGGTGCTTTGGAGAATAATTTGACCTTCTTTGTGGCAGCCCCTCAAGTACTGGAATACTGCTATCAATGTCAAGTATGTAATACCCTTTAGCAATATCATTTTGGCTTATATACAGCCCCACACAGCTTTACAGCATTCTCTGGCTGGTTTTACAACGTAAGCATTATTTGCAAACTTCCCCTAAACAATCCTCATTTTACCAAGAACTTGGAAGGATGGAAGGCTGAGTCAACCTTGAGCCGGTCAGGAACGAACTCTCGACAGTGGGCAGAGTTTGCCAGCAATACCGCACTTTAACCACCAGGGCTCTTGTAAACATTTGTCTTTAATTCTTTAAGGTAAAGGTAAAGTTTTCCCTTGCACATACGTGCTAGTCATTTCCGGCTCTAGGGGGTGGTGCTCATCTCCGTTTCAAAGCCGAACAGCCAGTGCTGTCCGAAGACGTCTCCGGGGTCATGTGGGCAGCATGACTAAATGCCAAAGACACATGGAACCAAAGGTGGTCCCTATTTTTCTACTTGCATTTTTACATGCTTTTGAACTGCTAGGTTGGCAGAAGCTGGGGACAAGTAACGGGAGCTGACTCTGTTACGCTGCGCTAGGGATTCGAACCGCCGAACTGCCGACCTTTCTGATCGATAAGCTCAGCGTCTTAGCCACTGAGCCACCGCGTCCCTTTTAATTTAATTTCTTCTGCATGGCTTCAATTTGAAAATAATCAACACGTTCATGTCCTTCCTTCAAATCATGGAAACAGATTAATGGGAGCCCTTTAAACAAGGCCAAAGGATGAATCCCAAAGAAGCGAATTCTCAACTGGAAAAGGAATCACACATGTTTGAACATGCAAACAGTGCTACCTAATTTTTCATCCTTTAGTCAGCATTTCCCATGCTTGGCTGTTTTAAAAGGGGTGGACTTCAATTCCCAGAACTCCCCAGCCAGCCGTATTCTGGGAGTTGAAGTCCACCCCTCTTAAAATAGCCCAGCTGGGAAAACTATGATTTAGTTCATCACATCCAATCAATGGAAGGCCTGCTCAGATCCTTCACAATTTACATATATTTATTGCATGTATGGCATGAGGAGCAGTCAGGATACATAGAACACAATAATAATATGATGCACATACGCTGGAGATATATGGTCAATTTTGTTAAGTTACAAGTAATTTAAAAAGTTGCATCTTAACAGTTACAAGTTGTATTTTAAAATATATTGGTTCATGAAAATAAAATAAATGTCCTTGTGATAATCCAGGGGGGTGGCACAAAAGCAACAAAGTTACAAAAGTAGGTAAAGTCCCTTTAATTCCTCCAACTTGGCCCCTAATGTCCAGTTATCATCGGCTGGAGAAAAAAACTCTCCCAAGAACAGTTTTTAAAGGGAAGAAATTCAGTCTGAACCCAAAGTACATATAGATTATAAATAAAAACCAACACAAACCACAGCTGCAGCAATTAACAAGACAGGGCAGGATAAGGAATTGCAGAATTCAAAAGATAACACAGACACGCTTGGGAGGACACCAGGAACCCAGATAAGACTTGACAAACAGCGATAATGCACACTTTGCTTCCAGCAAGGTGCTGTGCGCAAATACCCTTTTAAAATCCTGTTTTCCCAACTGCAGCTAATGAAGGGAATCAGGGCCCTTTTCTCCCCCATAACCCACGTTGCTCCCTCCTCCGTTTCTTCTATGTGCCCTAGGATGAAGAGGGGGTGGGCCTGGGTCTTCCTCTGAATGCCCAGCTGGACTGTGCCCTTTCCCAGTTTCCTCCACAGCCACCAGAGCCACACTCCCACTCCCTGTCAGCTGCTCAACCTCCCCCTCGGAATCAGATTCCAACAGGGGCATGACAGTCCTGTATGTTAATATTCAGGCCATTTATCCAATTAAGTGCAGTATTTGTTAATTGGAGAAAGTCTGCTTTTCCTCCTGTATAAGTCCTCAAATGTTAGCTAATTATTACAGATAGTCCTTGTTAGGAATGTAAGTTACCTAACCGCTATTTGGGTTGGACAATAAATAAACCAGGATAGACATTTTAAAACCGTATCTTTAAGAAAATGCAAAACTGTATTTGGGTGTGGTTTCTCAAACAGCCATAAGATGGAGCCAGAAACCTGGGTTGTTTTAGTCTTAGTCTCAGAAGAGAGTATGTCTCAGTGAGTCTTTGTTTCCTTCTGTTGGAGAATATTGCCGTTCCTCATAATTGACTGCTATTTTGGATTTGATGTAAGTCTGTTACTGAACTGTTTTTGACCCTGGACTTTGTTAATTGGATTATCCCTGGACTAAAAACTGACTGATCTTACCTGTGAATGACTTTGGACTGATTGTTTTGAACTTTGCTTAAACCTTTCTGGAAGTAAAAACCTACATTTACTGTACAGTGTATCTGTGTGCTGTGTGTGTATTATTCAAACACTACTCTCTATGAGTCTGCCTACCGAGATGAGGTGGACCGGTTGCCTTCATGGTGTGGAGACAATAACTTGGTCCTCAACACCAATAAGACCAATGGACTATAAAAGGAATAGATCAGACATCCAGCCCTTGCTTATCAAGGGAAACCTAGTGGAGCAAGTGGTCAGTTTTAAGTTTCTGGGTGTTACCCTAAAAGAGGACCTGACCTGGGGTGCTCACATTGCAGCCCTGGTAAAAAGAGCCCAGCAGAGATTATACAACCTGAAACTTCTCAAGAAACAACAACTTAATGGAAAACTGCTGGTAACATTCTACCCCTGCACCATACACAGTATCTTAACTTACTGCACCTGTGTGTGGTTTGCCAGTTGCACAGGGGCAGATAGGAAAGCACTCCAGAGGGTTAATGTCATTGCCCAGAGGATCATGGGTTGCCCTCTCCCCTCTTTGGAAGAGCTTTATAGTTTCCGCTGCCTTAAGAAAGTTCAAAACATTCTCAAAGATGCATCTCATCCTGGGCACCCCTTTTTTTGAACTGTTACCATCTGGCAGATGGTACAGGAGAATAATAAAGACAAGGACAAATAGGCTGAAAAACAGCTTCTATCCCAGGGCAGTCGCTCTATTGAATTCTACTGTAGAGTGCAATATTAATGCGATATCAGGGGCTTTCAATTCAACGTATAGAATGTGAAGGTTGTGTGTTTGTGTTTATTTTCATAGTCAAAATGTACTCTGAAGATGGTGTTTGACTTTGTTGTACGAGGTGCAATGACAATAAAGTAAAGTAAAGCAAACCATAGAGAAAAAGAAAAAGAAAAAAAGACAGAGAGCCAACTCGGAAGTCCCAGCATGCAATCGGCCGGGAATGACGCCACGTCTCACCTTCGTTAAAGTAGGCGGTGACACAAGCCTCCATCGTCATGGCCAGGTGTCGGACGGAGGCCAAACTCTGACAAGAGGATCTCAAGAGGGGCATCACCCCTAGGCCACGCATTGTGCCCTCAATCCAGCGGCAGAGGCAAACCAGGAGGGATTCTGCTGAGGCGGCACTGGCGTTGTTGATCACCATCAGGGCTTCGGCAAAGAGGCTGGTTAAGGACACATTGCGAACCTGGACATCGGCGTCTGCAAGACAAAGTTGAAAAAAAAAAAAAACAGTTGAGAACTCCTGAGTCGTGGGCTAAAGACCTGGCTGAAGAAGAGGTTTTCTTTGAAATGGTTGGGGGGGATAACAGTCTGTAGAGATTGTCTGTTTTACTTTAGTTTAGTTTATTGTCATTGCACATCGTACAATGAAATTAAATACCATCTTCAGTGTACTGTACAGTAGAATTCAACAGAGCTACTGCCCTGGGATAGAAGCTGTTTTTCAGCCTATTTGTCCTAGTTTTTATTGCCTTGTACCGTCTGCCAGATGGTAATAGTTCAAAAAAACAAAACCAAAAAAACCAAAATGGTGCCCAGGATGAAATGGATCTTTAAGGATGTTTTGAACTTTCTTAAGGCAGCGGGAGCTATAAAGCTCTTCCAAAGAGGGGAGAAGGCAACCCATGATCTTCTGGGCAATGACATTAATCCTCTGGAGCGCTGTCCTATCTGCCCCTGTGCAAGTGGCAACCTGGTCAGTCCTCCAGATCATGGTTATCCCAAAGGCGCTTTTTTTTCAGGAGGCAACTTGACTTTCTTGGTTTGTTTGTTTTTTTCTTTTATAGACATTTCGCTTCTCACTCAAGACGCTTCTTCAGCTCTGACCGGATGGTGGAGAATGGAAGGATTTATATTCCTTGCAGACAGCTGGTCATTTGCATCCTTTGGGAGGGTTGTTGAGACCACTTGGAGGTTTATCTGTGCCCTCGGGCTCTCCGGAGTGGTGCAAATGGTTCCTGTAGTCTGCAGTTTTTCTGGAAATCCGTCCCACACCATTCGAAGGGTGTCCGTCCCAAATTGCATAGCTAAAAGTCTGCAGTGATTCTCAGTCATCCATCCAGGTCATAGTTGTTCCAAAAGTGCTTTTTTTTTCGGGAGGCAACTGGACTTCCTTGTGTTTTTTTTCCTTTGAAAATGTTTTGCTTCTCATCCAAGAAGCCTCTTCAGCTCTTGACTGGATGGTGGAAGAAGGAAAGATTTTATATTTCTTTATATTCTTCAGCCAGAGCTGAAGAAGCTTCTTGGATGAGAAGCAAAAGGTCTTCAAAGAAAAAAAAACAAGGAAGTCCAGTAGCCTCTATAAAAAATTTAAAAAGTACCTTTGGGAGATAACATTTCATTGCTCACCAAGTGTCAGGCGATAAAAGATCAAGAACGCACGTGAAGTCCGAATTAAGCTAATTTATTATGCAACCTGCCTGTGCATAAGAATCTACTCTAGTGAAGGTGAGCGCTATTTCGGCATTAGATAAAGTCCACAGAATTCAAGAGAGGTTGTCTATGGAGAATTTTCCGTCACCCAACGTCTTTGAAGACGTTTCACTTCTCACCTAAGAAGCTTCTTCAGTTGAGAGCTGGAGAAGCTTCTTGGAAGAGAAGTGAAACGTCTTCAAAGAAAAATCAGAAAATCCAGCTGGAAAAAGCTCCTTTGGGTCAAGAGCGGTTGGACTTAATACAATTTGTGGCTATGTAGAGACGTTAGGCGGATTTCTGTTTTGATTGTTTGACCGTTTGATTGACTCTTCCGCCAGCCTTTTTCCTACATCAAGGCTATGAAATAAACCTTTCTGTTAAGGTCGTGAAGATTTAAGAGCTGACCAGCTGTTGTAAGGCTGCTGTGATGCAATGAGGAGGGGTCAGCATGGTTATTGCCACTTTAAGAAGCTGTCTATATAAAGGAGGCCATGAGAAGGCATACCCCTCTCTCCTTGTGTTCTATCTCCATTGTAGTTCTCTGTGCAGAGTAAAGAAGATTGATTGATTGCCAGGTATTTGCCTACCACGTGAATGTACTGTATGTATATAGCTGCCTTGTATATAAACCACTGTTAAAAGACAACGCCTCTGTGTGCTGTTTTGCTCCTGGGTTGTCTCGCAATAGTAGTCACGCTACAAACACTCTGACACTTTCTTGTGGTCTTCCAAATTACAGCTAAAGCTGATCTTGACTACTACTGTACTGCCCCTCCAGATGTTAGCGATAAGAGGAGGAAGAAGAGAGCCCAACAGAGGTGGGACAACTGAGCTGGTGCTCCAGCACTTGGTATAAAACCAGGGTTGCGTTATTGGGCTTTCTAAGGGTCAGGGACGACTCTGGTCATGCAGCAGATCTGACTTTCCAGAGAGGGAGATCAAATCACTGACTTGGAACTATCTCCACCCTCAACTCTCCATCCTGCTCAACTCAAGAGGAGTTTTCTTGGACCCACCTGGGGGATTAAAGATGGCGATATCATCGAGCAGTTTTGAGAATTCCTGCTCCAGGGCTGCTGGAGAAATCGCCCCATTCTGTTCCAGAAGACCCAGGAAGCGGACAACCTGGCGAATGAAGGCTTGGCATTTGAGGCTGGCATCCTAGAGAGAAAGGAGAAACACAATGAAAGGCACCCCCTGTTCCCTCTGTCCTTTCTCCTCCAGTGGAATCTGGAGGGCGGGGGGCAGGGAAGAAAGAAAGAGGGAGGGAGAAAGGAAGGAAGGAAGGAAGGGAGGAAGGAAGGAAGGAAGGAAGGAAGGAAGGAAGGAAGGAAGGAAGGAAGGAGGGAGGGAGGGAGTGGGGAATAAGGAGAAGGAAGACAGGTGAACAAAGGAAGGAACAAAGGTTATGGGGAGGATGGGTGGATGGAAGGAAGGAAGGAGGAAGGAAGGAAAAAGAGAGAGAAAGAGAGAAGAGGGAGGAAGGAAGGAAGGAAGGAAGGAAGGAAGGAAGGAAGGAAGGAAGGAAGGAAGGAAGGAAGGAAGGAAGGAAGGAAGGAGACGGAAGACAGGTGAACGGAAGGAAGGAATAAAGGTTATGGGGAGGATGGGTGGTTGGAAGGAAGGAAGGAAGGAAGGAAGGAAGGAAAAAGAGAGAGAGAAAGAGAGGGGAAGGAAGGAAGGAAGGAAGGAAGGAAGGAAGGAAAGAAAGAAAGAAAGAAAGAAAGAAAGAAAGAAAGAAAGAAAGAAAGAAAGAAAGAAAGAAAGAAAGAAAGAAAGAGGAGGGAGAAGGGGAAGAGAGTATGGAAACAAAAGGGAGGGAGAGAAGGAAGGAAAAATGGAGAGTGGGAGGGCTGGGAGGAAGAAAGGAAGGAAGGAAAGAAAGAAAAAGAAAGAGGGAGGAAGAAAGAATGAAAGAAAGAACAAAAGAAAGAGGGAGGGAGGGAAGAAAGAAAGAGGGAGGGATAAGAGGGAGGGAAGAAAGAAAGAGAAAGAGAAAGAGGAAGGAGGAGAGAGGGAGAAAAGGAAGGAAGAGGGAGGGAGGGAGGGAAGGAGGAGAAAGAAAGAAAGAAAGAAAGAAAGAAAGAAAGAAAGAAAGAAAGA